TTTGGGATATCTGACGATTATTCCTTCATTGATTTACGCCAAGATTACATGTAGATTGATTGTCCCAGGTTGCCTGCGAGTTTCTAGTATTTACGTAATTCATTGAATGTTTCCACTGAATAGAATACCATTTCTAGAAAGAGTCATTCAATTGGTTAATAACGCTTCAGCAGGTTTTATTTTTTTTCTTTCGATCCTGTTGAGAACAAAGGTATCCGTGTTATCTTGAGAAAACATTTCGGTTCGGATAGTTTGGGCTAATTTGAAAGCACTCAATAATGATTCGTAAACAACTGTTTTTAGTTGTATTTCGCCTTTATTAGATAACGTTTACATGATTTTTGCAACCAATTATCAATTTAGATAGGATTTTACCAAATGGACAGATATCACGTTTCCAGTCAGATAAGCCAGTCAAGTTGTTAGGGTCTACACCAACACACATATTAGATAATTAGAAAACATGTGCCTTGAGCATTGTAATATAATTATTGTACATTGCTGTTCAGAGTATGAAGCGCTCTGTGAGGCATTTTATCTGGGCGTACATTGATGAATGGGTCACCGGGGTTTACTCTGTATAATGCAACACCGAGAATAGAGCCCTTTGACCACACAACACCACAGGATACGTGGACCTATTCGACCCATTTATTCCCCACTGATGCCGATATATAGGTCAGAGATTATGGTTTATTTATATGTCTACATACTTGCATACAAAGTACTCTTTTGGAGACCCCGTCCCTCAACTAACAGTAAACGGGTTTGGAATGTTGTTTTACACAGCGGCCAGCTGTACTACAGCTATTTGTCTACGACTGTAACGAATCCGGTCTGGGCTGGGAAAAACAATGTTTGACATCATGAACAACAATCCATGCCGTCGGGACTCGCTGACAAGTCAGCCTCTCTGTTTCTGCTCGCTAATCAATTCTAATTTGTTCTGGTACTACAAACATGGGATATTTAGGGGTCTGTTTTGTATCGTAATCATTATTGTATATTAATATTAGAAATATGGGGATTTTCTGTGTGTACGAGTACATTAATGGACAATATCACATGTATGGTACCGCCTGAGTCTATCAAGGCTAAAGTTCGTGGAAAGCTCGGTAAAGGCGTGCTGTTCAACGCATTTGTGCACCTGTATGCCATGGTTGTGCAGGGACAAGTGTGGTTTTCGCAAGAAAACTCTGTATTCACAAGATTTGGCACCTCAGATTTCCCCCGTACCTAAAACTGAAAAACATCAGTCTGCCGGGAAAGCATTATACTTTTCTACAATGGAGGACCTTTGGTACAACCAGGTGGAAGACTTCTACCCCGCTGGATTCCTGCATCCGAGCATCTTTAGCAGATCAGGACATCGGATGGGATTTTGCTGAAAAATATTCAACGAACGTCATCAACGCAGCCCTTTGTAGATATGCTTAGACCTTTTCATCAACTGCTCGAACAAAACATATTTTTCCTTGAACTTATTGAAATTTGATATTCATCATTATGTTTCTGTGTATTGAATTACCCTCTTTAGGGAAACAATAGTCACACGATGAGAGATAAACATCGTTATATTCCCCGCGTAATTGAAATTGGAACCTGGCCATTTACATCTGGTGCCCTTTCTACCGAGTAACGAAGTACCCTCGGGGTTAGATGATCAAGTGATAGGCTGACAATGTGTATTTCGCCGAAAGGACACCACAGGCGTTGCAGTATACAATGAATAATGTTGTTTAATCTCTTTCAGCAATATTCAAGCAATATAACGGCAGGGGACAGCACTATTGGGTTCCACTCATTGTACCCATGTTGGGTATCGAAGCCAGGTTTCTAGCGTTACAAGCAAACGCTTTAACCATTAGGCTACCTCAACGCCCCCTTGAACAACGAAGGATGACGAATCATGAATCGTCCCTTTAGGATTCTAAAGGGATCAGTATATGTCGACACGTAACTTTACGTCGTTTCTGAAACCTAACAATCTACCGGGGATGGCAATTCTCATTTTCATCGGCGAAAAAATCCCGTAAGCGATGTCCTTGAAAGAAAGACGGCGTAATGAATAATCGATGAAAGGTAATTTATGGCTTATTTCAAGTGTAATGAATGCATATTTCATTTGGCGGAGTTTCAAATTACCTACTGACCTAAAGAATTATCACTCGAGAGACGATGTGTCTGTTAAATGTACGTCTAGAAAGCCAACAAAGCAATGCTTTAACATTAACGGTAACGTTGGGTCTGTCGACACGTTTACCTACTTAATGCAATTTGGAAACACATAAAGAGGACATTATTTGAATCAAAAGTGTTTATTCATAATACAGCCAGACACCGCTGGTCAATCCTTGACAATTTGTCCAGGAGTCGGTAGAAGCATTCCATACCCCGAATTCATTTGTTTCACGAAGGTGTTCCTACAGCAATATTTTCTCATAAATAGCTGACACTACTCATAAACGCAAGTCCTCTTGAGAGAATACGTAAGTCTCAAAACGCTCAAAGTAAATTTAAACATACCACTATCTTTTACCGTAGAATATATGACATTGTTATTTTAATCTATGGCTAGCGTGTCTAAAGTTGATAACAGCTTAAGGGATGGTGTAAATCCAGCTAGGGTCCATGCCGGAAGCAAATGTACTGTAAGTCCCCATGGTCCCCAGCATAGTGATCTACCTTCAGTTGTTGGCAATCTATAACCTGTTTTTATATTTACTGTCTTCTATAGTTTAGATGTGATATCTTAGTTGTTTTGACTGTCCTTCGTTGATAGGCTTTTTATAACTTATATAGTATTTATGGTGAATTGAAAACTTGTAGTCACGATACGGCTGAAATATTTCTGATATGACTGTAAATCTTAACTCACTCACTTACTCATACACTCAAGTCAGAAGACTGACAGTGAGGCAACTGCACTTCTATTTGATGTTATGAGGTGTATTTGGCCTTTCCAACTGTTATAGCTGAAATCAGTATTTTGTCAGTCATGACACGCACACATTTGAATAACATTGATGGACATGCTTTATCGAAACATTCTGACGTCGTTGCACAGCAAATGAGGTCAGATGTAACGACAAATGGGATGACGACTTGCAAGAGCTTGCGTAGGGTTAGGTGATAAGAATGCCTTTGCAATCCAGAACACCGTTTTGTTTTCAGTGTAATAATATGATAGCTCGAGAATGTAGATGCGTGACTTTCATTTTGTTTGCGATCATCTCATTCATTGTCGTATTCGCCTTTGATGTAAGTCTTTATGTCACAAGTTGATTTGTTCATATAGTACAGCACCCCTAGCACATATCACAAATTCATAAGTTTGTCCCAAACAGTCTGCCATACTGATGAGCTGGCTGCCAGCATGTGCATCCTGGGCTCTGGTCCATGCTGTTCCTGCAGTCTGTGCACTCAGGTGATATAAAAGCTACATGTGCCATGTACCTGGCATACACCATGCTGGCAGTGGCAGTCCTCACGTGTAGTTTCCCTAATTACAGGTATGCAAGTTTGTTTGAATGAATTGCTCATATTAAAAAATATCATATTGATAAGTCAGGTTTAATCCTGTAATAGTAAATATATTTAATAGTTTAGTAACCATGAACTTCTATTTGATAATCATGTAAATGTCACAATGATACTTTTGCTTTGTCATATTAATTTATAATGTACGACACACCATGGAAGTGGCAGTACATGTAATCTACATTTAGTTTCCCTAATTTCAGGTTAATGGCACGTCTCGTTGCCAAATGACAAAATAAAAGTGCGAACATCAGCCCTATGGTCGTGTTTTAATCCTGACACACATAAGAGCGACAACAGACGTAAAAAGATGTCTATAAAAAAAGTCGATTGTTCGGGTCGGACTACATCATGTCCTTAATCACCATGATCTGGGAAGGCCATGTCCGATCTTTGTATCAGTACAGAGGTACAGGCACAGTACACGCTACACGCTACACGCTACATAGTACAATATACAGACATAGAAATCTTTTTTACAATATCAACTCAATCCTAATTCTTTTTTTCACAAAAGGGGTTCTGCATCACAATTGTCTAAGGAACATAAGGGGCGGTGGGGTAGCCTAGTGGTTAAATCGTTGGCTCGTCACGCCGAAGACCCGGGTTCGAATCCCCACATGGGTACAATGTGTGAAGCCCATTTCTGGTGTCCCCCGCCGTGACGTTGCTGGAATATTGCTAAAAGCGGCCTAAAACCAAACTCAGTCAGTCAGTCAGTCTAAGGAACATAAATCTTTGCCTCCTTTGCCGTCCCGTGATCAGATGAAGAGCTCTCGAATCTCACCCACACTCTGATTATGTTTTTTCCATTAGCTCACTGCCTGTGCTCGTCCGCCCAAAGAAAGTAGTAAACTTCAATGACTTGCGTCACTTCCAGTTTTATTCTTACAAAAAGCTGACACGTCGACATTTAACTGAAGTACTCTTTGGAAGTGGAGTCCAAATCGCTCTTTCTCCCTTTGTAACAAGTTTCCATGTCTAAATGCAACCATGGTGATACAAACGAACCAAACCTCAAAGACGTTCCCGCTCCACGAAAATGTAATATTTCTAACACTGACCTTCTTAGTTTTGTCTGCTGTGATAACCCTGCCATCAGATGTTAAAGTCCAAGGAAGTTTTGTTTATGTCTCAGGGTGTTCAGGGCGTTTATTTGTTAATAACCACGAGAAACTGTGCCGTGTGTGTCTAGGATTCCTCATACCTAGATGGAAAGATATGGTTCAAGGTACACCTCTTTGTTCTCTTCTCCTGTTACAGTTTCCCTGTTTAGGTATGTAACGCCACGAGGAGCCGAGAAGAACATCTCCCGTTCTACACTCGCAGCCGGCAGATGGACATCTCGATATTACCATTGTGCAATCTGTGATGCCCTCATTGGTCCAGCAATCTGTCGTGTCATATTGTCCTGGACAAACCCTTACGGACCTGGTGCCAGCAAGGAAGGAGGGAGATAGCGGTTAGCGTCAATACTTGCTAATCATTTATGAAACTAACCTATTTGCGATAATCTGTATCGGTGGGAATCAGTATAAGTCACTCTGTTTGAACTGTAGTTTGAAGTCTCGACATTGCAAGTTCCGAGTAAAATGTGTAAAGGTTTTCAGTATAATAACTGATCAAGGAAACGTATACATCTACAAGGATTGTTTATGAGAAGAAATAGTTCACATTTCATTTGAAATGGATTTTTACGTTATATCATTTCTGGTACAAGCCCAAACCGTTTACATTACACGGCATGTGAATTAAAAGAAAGCTATCAACACACCTGGGATCTCAAAATCGTCACAAAAAGGAACAATATGACGATTGTCCTTAGATCATTTCTTATTTTGTGTTATATTTTATACATAACTGGAAACATAGTTACATATCTTCAGAGGTTCAATACAGGTTGTCAACAATGAAAGCAAAGTATATTTGAAGTTAATTGAGAAGCAACATGTTAAATGCTAAACTTCCTTATTGATAACTTTTATGTAAAATAAAGGGAATACGACATATCGGCTAAGGTTAGGTATCGCCATGGGCACCTGGTGGGCTCCCCTTCTTGCTTATTCTGATTTTCTAATATTGTTCATCGATCAAATAGCCAAGTCCCTTCCACTGATTTACCCAACGCATAGAAATATAAGTTAAAAGGTCTCATTCATGTCATTTTAGATCCATGGATAAGATGAATGAGTGAGTGAGTATGGTTCTACGCAGCGTTTAGCAATTTTCCGGGGGGGGGGGGAATACCAGAAATGGGCTTCACACATTGTACCTATGTGGGGAATCGAACCCGGGTCTTGGACATAACGAGCGGACGCTTTATTTTACCACACTGCCCCCTATGCTTCAGGAGCGACTGTATGACCTACGATTTCGGCGCAGCCTGTGTTTCAGGGGCACATGATACAGACAATTCGGGGTTTATGATACAGACAAGTCGTACATTGCTATAAACTTGTTGGATATTTCGTATGAATTTGTACATGTTTTGGAAGCTTGTATTTACAACTTTACGTGAATGATTGATCTTACAACAACTTTCATCCTACAACGTTTCCTGCAAGTCTGAAATACATATTCATATACCTTAATAAATTGCTATATTTAAAAGACATGTTTCCTTACATTGAACACGATGACCCTGCTGATTCCATGTTGCGATACTCGTCATGTTAATATCAAACTAGCTTATTATGATTTTATGCCTGTGTATCAGTGGTCCTTAAAGTTGTTAAGAAGATTGTAACATCAATCATGACGACAAGAGGGATTATATAAGACCTGCAAACGTTTCACGTTTTAGATTTCACATTTCACATTTTTAACAAACGCTTGTGTCAGTGCCAGTGACACTCGCTCACTTTCCAAACTAATTACTTCTAGGTTTTCATACTCTTGTACATTCGTCAAATCAGGTAAAAATGAAATAGTTAAAAGAAATGACAAACCGTAACGTAACATGTGTAATATTTTCTGCTTCTGTCAAACCACTTGTTCATCGTACTGTGTTTATATTCAATGTACAATGAGTGGTGCAATTAATGTCACATATCATCGTGAATGTCGGAAATATTCAAACAAAATTTCGGAGCCTCGCATGTTAAATCATACGGAACAGTCACTTTGTGCCGAACCCACAATCAATCAGGCGCATGTCTTTGCGTGCTCCTTCTCTCAAAGGAATTCCAAACGTTATATCTATTTACATTTTAAATGCAATATCAGAGGTAGATTGTGACACGTATTTCGCAAATTGACCTGCTCTAAAAGATAATTGTCAATTCAGAACAAAGAAGCATCCTCAAAGTTATAACTATTTCCTCAAGGAATAACAAGGAGAAGAGCTCATGTTCGATCTGGTTTGTGAACGATTTCCCTTTCATGATTTAAACACCATACTGACGCCAGACGTTTACTTTGATTCGGAAGTAAATATTTAAATGTAAACTAATATCTGTTTCATGTGGATTGTTGTCTGTTATCGATGTTATATAGAACGGTATGAAAGCTCCAAACCTCTGTTTTCATAACGTTGTTTTGGTAGGTTTTTTGTGAGGTCATTACAGTGCACTTGTAAACTGATTTTACATTCGACCTGCTAACGTCAGTAGAGTGCTTTCCGTTTAGAATTTTTACACGATAATGTCGACGCTGCCAAGAGTCCCTATCTGTCATGTTGGAAGGAAGCAATTTTCAGTATCGGTTATGAATTATTTTGAAAGTTTGCATTTATTTTCTTGCTGGCATTGTTTCAGTTTCTGGTCGCTGAGTTAGAAATAACAAACTGAAAATTCCAAAAACATTCAAATGTAAATATATTTTATCACATAATTTCCACTTTGAAAATAATCATCAATAACGTTATTTTGAAATAGAATGACAGATTTTAAAATTTCATAAACCACTCTAATACGTATAAAATAGAATTGCATTCCGAAATGTTCTTCAGACTGAACATAGCTGTAATTCACGTACACCGACAAGCATAACAATGTCAGTATATATCATATGATTGGACATTCAAATTAGCCTGTGTCGTCACGGGACCAGGGCACCCTGTTCATGTATATATGCATGCTTTTCAATCATGCTCAGGCATATGTCAAGCAAATTGCAAGCACATATACCTAGAAATGTATAAATGAGTGATTACATCATCACACCTGTTTGAACTAATCTTCAATATCATCATGGTTACTAACATATATATCCATTTTTTATTTTAGTACACCATTTGAATACGTACAAACCATTCGTATAGTAGCCATTTCTCACGGTACCGTTACCACTGTATCAAAGATGAATAGGTGAACCTGTCAACTGATGATCATTGGATCGATTCAAATATTTGCCGTGATTTCGATTCCAGATGTCACAATGGGGTAGCAAAGAGTGAGTGAGTGATTTACGATGCTGTTTTTTAGCAATCTTCCAGCAATATCACGCCGAGGGTCACCAGAAATTGGCTTCACACATTGTACCCATGTCAGGAATCGAACCCGGGCCTTCGGCATGACGAGCGAACGCTTTAACCACTAGGCTACATCACCGCCCCATATGCATTGTGGGTGGACGGAAGGATGTTGAGGTTAGCTAACAACAGGTGACAACAGGATACCCATGTGGGGAATCGAACCCGGGTCTTCGGTGTGACGGAGGAACGCTTTCACCACTACCCCACCGCAAAGAGGCACACGTAAACATGTCCAGCAGTGTCTTATCATTTCACATTAATATATCATCAAATGACTGATAAATTTTCAAAATTGGAATTAAACCCAATTAAACCCTCCCCAGGACAGGAATCATAATCCAGTTGCTGTTACAGAGGGATGTTCATTGTTCTTAGTCGAAACAATATTGCCTGCCAGCACTTTCACTAAATCACTGTCATCGAAAGTACAAGGCCAACCAACTGCTTAGATTCACGATAAGAGCGTAGCCATAGAGTCACAGATATTAGAGGCGACAAGTTTCTATATGTGCTATGTGCACTTACATAGATCTGTTGAAGTAGCAAATATCTTGTCGAGGCAAGCCTGAAGATTAATGGATTCTTTCGCATCGACCTTAGGGATCCAGCCGTCATTAATTAAACCTCTTAGACGTGTGTAATTGAGTCTGTTACAATATTTACTACTGCGCTATAAAACATTGCAAGATCAATCGCGATTGTGTGTGGTTACAAGCGGTGTTGAATTTATGAGGAATGCTTGTCAAGAAAATTCAATGTTTGTTAAAAGGTTTATGTAGGTTATTGTTTAAGATAGATGAGACCTCAAACTGTTACACATGTTAATATATTAAGGCATTCTGATGACTTAAGCTTCATAACTTAAGTGGTTCCATTGTACTGCCACGTGTGATATAAATGAAACAGGTTAATGGTTAAGCCTCTCAGTTCCACCATAATTAAATAACAAATATCTAGTTTTTGATATGTGTTCATATGACGGTTCACTCTAAATGATCAATAGTCTAATCTCTTAGCGAATGGGATTTTTTGCAAATATATTCACTCCAAGACGTATAATGCAGGGCATAAATACTAGTGACCAAACGCATTACATAATCTTAAAAATAATTACAGTTTTGAATAAATACGCGTCGGGGGCACATCTGTAATTCGCTGTGTACAAAACAAATCTACGTAGGTTTGAATTTTGTTTCGCGCCGATTATATATGTTTCTGTGTTTACAGGTGCTCGTAGGATTCACCAAGGTGGAATGTGAGACCTGCAACGCTTTAACTTGGCATGCCTTGATATAACTAAAATACTGTTCAAAGCAGCGTAAAATCGAAATGACACACTCACTAAAAGTGATTCCGACTCTATCACTGACACACGTGTATGCATCTGTATCAAACAACGATGACGCCAGGTGTTCAGGGTGAGTGTGTCCTACCCTATCGGTGGCATTCGTCACAAACACATGCACAGGCAAGTCAACTGCTCACCTGAATAACTCTAGGGAACAGATAGTATAAGTGAAAGTAGGGACTTGCAGCAGACATCAGTTTTGACTCCGATGCATGAAATTTGGAAATGATCATCACATCTTTAAGATAAAAACAACTTTGGAAAGGAATATTTAAGGTTGTAATATGTAAACATCAAAGGCTGGAACTGCTGGAACTTTGCTGGACATAAACGAAGTTTGATTCAGCATCGTAAATTCATTATGCATACATCTAGCTAGTATGTACTGCTATTATGTAGAAAACGTACCCATCTCTATCACATCCTGCTTTTATAAATTGTTCCAAGCGAAAGTAATAACATTACCACAGTGAATCGATTCATGGTCCCAGCTTTGTTTCTGATATCAGCTGACAAAAGAACATTGAGAACTAACAAATTTCATAAAGAACAGCGTGCCGAGGGAGAGCTTCTCTCACAAGGCAGCCGCAGCTGAAGTTCGTCACCTGGACTACTGACCATGCCAACTAATTAGCAAGACGTGACAGCTGACACACGAATACCTATCAGGCATGGACAGCCCCGAAACATCCAGAACAACAAAAGTCTGTCACCGGAGGAAATATCACCAAACGTTGAATTGGTTCCCTCAACCCGCCGCCTCGGCAATAAATTCTCATTCGCTCTGTTCCACGTGGAGTTTAGATCAAGCGACTTCGTTGGCCAATGGCTGAACCCTGATTAACATTCTAAGCTGTATATTCTCTCTTCATAGTATTCACGGCATGCTGTTACCCAGACATTGTAAAGCTGCAAAGCGTGTCGGGATAGCACCAGGAAACACGTGCACGGTATGGTGGATTTTTCCCGGGCGGATAGATATTGGTGAGCGAGCATCTCCCGTGCGAAGCCTCACAGTACTATCCTTGTTCGATCGAAATCCCGTATCTCAAGACACATGTTACAGGCATTTGCTTTGTGAAGTGTGTGTTCCTCGCGATGAAAACTTCTTGCAAACTGAGGTAGGTTGAGTTTTTAATGTATATACTTCCTCAATGTTCAGATCTACAAGTTTAACAAGAATTTGTATTTGTACGGAAACTTCAAAAGAAATAATGCTTTGTTTCTAGACGGTTCAGTGTATGACCACGACAAAAATATGCTTAGATGGGGAATACCAGCTCATGTATTCTCATCAGCTCGTCAAAACGTAATTTGTTGATTTTGTTTTAATACTACACTTTTACACTAATACACTTTGTTACCAACTGTGACTATTTTTAGGTTATCCTAGAGAACATAATTCGATAATATTCAATCCGTGACCTGGGTCTCGTTAACTAATCACGCACGTGAATTCATTAGTATATATCTTTCTAGTACGTGTGATACATAAGCGAGTATAATGTTAAATGTAAGTCACCACCTTGTCATATCTGACTGCTATACCCATGTGCTAATTGAAATTTTACTACCCCGAATTACTAATGAAGCCTTCTCACTTTCATCACGTGCTTAATGGTTCATTACTTGTGTGGATATAAACTTAATTCGATATTAATCGTACTTCGTGGCCCATCGGTGCTGTAATAACCCTCCCTCCAGTGCTTGAAGAAGCGATCAAAGAGTCGTTTAACGGTGTAAGCGTCCAGGTGCTGTAAACGATGGTCATAAACGTCCCTCCGGCCGTTTGATTTGGCAGCAAGGCGAAACCTGACTCTCGTTAAATTTATCATAAAGGCTAGTATCAATATTTTACCTTGTCTTCATTCTTTCACCCTAATAAAGCAGTCTCTTGTTCTTTAATGACTGGGTTTGGCACTTCTGTTATAAATCAGTATTAGAATCGTACCTGTGAGGGTCCGGTTAGAATTGGTCTTCAGCAGCCCATACCAATCTTAATATTGCTGAGTGTGGTGTTAAACAACATATAAAGCATCAAAATCGAGTCATTTCCAAATATATCAACTTTCTTCATTGCATACTCATATTCCACAAAGGTTTTTAGAGATACATTTTACACCCATACTGTGGTGAACCTCACTTTTAAGAAACTGATTAACTTACGTATCTTACCATCGATATTAAAACACAAGAATGTTAAGTTAATGAATAACGTGTGCTATCTATTAAACAAAAGAAAGCTTCATTTATCATATAGGCCGCTGATTGCTCAGGGTGTGTTCTCAGTTATCTCTTATCAGTTATCTGAAGGGGGAAAAGTAGAAGCCAAAGATCGATTACCGTTTACTTCATATATATACGTGATTGAATGGGTTTCCACGTATTTCAGTCTAAAGCTAATCACAACAGCAATATGGGGTTTGTTTAGCAGAGGAGTCGAAACAGATTGCTAATATATTCTCAAGAGGTTTGCACTTTGTGTAAGGGTAAACCAGTTTGTAAATAAACCTCGGATGTAATAGATTTGATCTTAAAGAGTTGAAGATACCAGGCAATACTTGGGTGTATGACGTCTTGCTACAGATGTGGCTGTTATTGAAAACATGCTCAGGGATGGGCATGTCTGGAGTTTATTGCTTGTATCCCAGACAAACAACACGGTCAGAAGTTGTGTGTGATAGAACATAGACGCTGTTTTCAATTTTATTTCTAAGTATACATTTACGTGTTTGTTAACCGCCAGAAACAGCGCGTTGATTTTTATTACAGCATAACCCAAATATGGTGGCTTTAACTTATCATGTCACAGTTGAATGTCATGCATAACAGTGCAAGGTGCTTAAATTATATTGGATACATTACGTAAGCCTATGACGCCAAGATCAATGATATGGAGCGCTTATACCGCTTCACACTGTGCAATATGGGACATTGTGAAGAGGAAATTTATATCGTCTTTATAATCATTACGGCCAATTTGGAGGCTAAATAATATTGATATTCAAGCCCAGGGGGTAATTTTCCCAGCTCAATAGTTATTTCAAACGTTTTCTGGTAGACATGTTGAGGACATTCCAAATTTGATGTGTCGGTGATAAATATTATATCCGATGCAATACCCTAATTTGGCATATACCATGCTACCGTGTTCGGGTGCACAATTGACCTGCCCTTGCATGTGTTTGTTACGCGTGTTATTTGTGGGGCTGGGTACCCTCACCGGTTTCTCGAACACCTAGTGAAATCAATATTTGACAATGAATCATAATACTCATTCTCAGGATATACATCGGAATCATCTACTGGACATTGCTTTTAGTAGAAAGTTATGATAATGCAATGATTTTTGTAGCTCTTTATGCGATTACTAGAAATCACTAAGATTCTCTTGTAAGTCTGATTATACATGGGCTGCTCATTTCCCCAAAGGAACAACAGATGCGCAATGACAAAGAGTAATGAAATCAACACCTGGTAAAGCTATTCTTGTCGGTTGTGTAATGGGTTCATGGGGATTAGCCGGCGTGTCCGACCTAACACTCAACCAGTTGACAATATTGGTCCCCGAAGGGTGTTCACAATCAAACACAACAATTGGAAAGATGAAGTGCGGTGATATACTTCTATGTATTATGTATGTATGCATAAGAGTCTAGACACGTGTTAATTTCGCAGTTAATAAACCTTTGATGAATCCGAAAATTTGATTTGGTGGAGGACCATAATATATTAATGAAAGAAAGTGGAAGATAAAGCGAAATGGTCCAAAATACTTGATTTGTTTTAACACCACTTTGACTCAGGTTATATCACTCCATTCAAGAAATACATCACACACATTTTTTCCTTGTGGGAAATCAATGCAGAGCGTGGTCATTAAGGCTTTAAACAACTGACATCGGGAATGATACCACGATCTAGTAGATGCTTTACGATGTGGATAATCAATACTAAGTCTTAATGGATAAATACAGAGTTAAACGGCGCTTTGACCAGTGTGTCGGTTATTTCAGTGAATGACATCTTCATGTGGAAGACATGTAGATGGTTCACACTTTAAACAACCCTGGAAAACGGGTTTGCTGATTATCAATCTCGAAACATGCATCAGGATTCAATGAGTGAGGTTTAGTTTTACTCCGCTTTTAGCAATAATCCAGCAATATCACGGCGGGGGACACCAGCAATTGACGTCACACATTGAACCCATGTGGGGAATCGAACTCTGGTGTTCGAGGGAAGGCTTTAACCACTAGGCTACCCCATCACGCCCATCCGGATTCAAACCCAAGATAACAGGTTTCTAGAAAGCTGGAAAGAGGCATCTCCGCACAGCGAATTGCGGTACCTTAGACAACTGGGCTAACTTTACCCTGGAGGGAAGTGGATAGGATAATATGTTATGTAAAAGGATACATCATTTACTTGAAATACGAGATCTAAAAGTCTGCGTCCAAAGAAATCCTCCTCCGCCTATAAACAATACGACAGGCCACCCCGGCCTTACCACTCTCCCAGAATATTAACGGTCAGTGACTTATGATCACCTTGGGACTCGCCTTGGTAACACAACAAAAGAACTTGTATTTATTCCACTAAAGCTTTCCGCGTGAATAGACGCCCGTTCTACTTCTATTACGTACATGTAGGTCTCATTGCTCTGGTTTTGTGACACTATGAATATTGTACTGGACACCAGCAATGAAAACAGCTTAAAGCTCTCAAGGGTATGTAAGAATCGTTGTAAGAAATCGCTTTTCCTGACGTAATGAATGGCCACTTGTATCAGCAGTCAAATCAGTGAAACATTAACTAGGTGTATTACTCTTCATTTATAATCATTTATGTGCGTTTATAGTAGCCACGCTTATGATGTCTGAGATAGTATTCAGTTCTACTAAACGTGGAGTAAAGGGCCATTAATATAGTCCCAATCCGTTTGTATGAGACTGATATAAAGTGATCTCTCTTGTAGAACCTAGAGAATATATAACCAATTACCCTATTTCATTCTCATCGCCAGCAACTCCCTCTCATCCCCTGTATCCCGCTCTCATACCATGTTCAGCTCTTTACATTAAATGGCTTGAAACTTACATTTAAGGGTTCCTTTACGGATGTATGTGTATACAACATGGTGCGTAACTTTACTTCAAGGAGTATATGTAAGTCAAGTTATAAAGTAGGCCATTGTTTACGACTGGAGGGCTTGTCGAACGTTTCCGTTCTCAAGCAAGGAGTGAGTGTTGACGTAATGCGTACTTTACCTCTCTCGGTAAGATAAGTACCTTTCCATGCAACGCATAATCGGTACCTGGACGTTCCTGTGGTGAAGTATAAATGTTCTATAAATTCCGTCTGTTACAATTACAGTTAGGTATTTCAAGACAAATACCTATTACATATTAACTATAAATGGGAAATAATTGACATGATGGGAGCGAATAATGCTTGGGAATAATGCTTGGGAAGAAAACATTTCTAGTTCCAAACGTCGGAGTTAGGGAGGTTTGGTTTTAGGTCGCTTTGAACATTAGTCCAAATACATCAAGGTTTGTCGGTTTAATGATGTTGGAACGCTCGAAGTGATGCAGGTCTCAGACATGTACGTTGGTGAAACCTACAAGCACAGGTTTGGTACTGACGAACCCGAAAACCGAAAACCCAGAACCGGTGAACTGACAATATTGTTTCTGGGGTACGCAAGCTTCGGATCTCTTCACGGCGCACTACGGAGCCCCGTGTAATAAGTATCGATACATACGGGGTACACATTGCAGCCAGGTGAGATCTGTGACTTGTACCCTGTACCATATCATTTTTAATAGATGTAGGTTATATGATTATACATATCCATTTGTCGATTTCAGGATCAGGTTCAAGTTTCATATCAGCATTGCCGTTTCCAAAAGGTATCCCGGTTATGTCTTGTGTAATCCCTATACTTTACCATACACGAAACGCGAGCAATTTGGTTTAGAAATAATGATTATTGATATATGGCCATCAATGTATTCTTTGCTTACTACAGTTGCGTTCTTTTTTTATCGGGATATACTGTTTGTGACAAACTCGATTATTTACAGATCTGCGCCATGTAGATGAAATATTGCTGAGT